TTGGGAAAATTTATTCATAGGAACATTAGAATTTTATGTAACTCAGCAGATGGCTCATAGAAGATAATGAAAGTCCAACTTTCACCTACACCAACATCTTAAAGACTAAAACATCATGGATAATCCATGATGACACTGTGAACTGATTCCAAAGCATACAAAAATAGAAAATATGTAGAAAGGATACACCTGAATATTGTGCTGTATACAAAGCAGTTTCAGCTGATGCGGACTCACAAGCTCTAACCTGCTCTAAAATTACCCTTCCACAGCACCATTATCCAGCCACAATCTCAAACATACCTGCACTTCAGGACCCAAGAATCTGAGGTTAGAAGCAAGGACTGGTTTTCAAAACAATGATCAGCACTCCCACACTTACTTAGCCAGGATGCCCACGCTCAGGAACAACTTGATAACTTCAGTGACACACACAGCCGTTGTGGAAAAGTAGAGCTCTGTCTCCACTGTCCTGGTGTACCGCAGTGCCACCGTGTACGTGGCAGCAACCAGGGTCATCACCGTGAGGCAGTACAGCTTGAACAGCAAGCTGACATTTTCTGAAACAAAACAGAGGAGAGGACTCAGCATGACCCCCATTTTAATTTAAGAACTCACACAGTGTGTTCTCCAGCTGGAGGGATGTATCAAACACTACTGTGTCAGCAGACAATAATTACAATGTTAGGAAACACTTTCCATTAAAAATATTTGGCTAAATTTTACAGCCTTCTCAAATAAGCTTGTACAGAAACTCCAAATGTTTGAAAATGAGATGCTCTCTTGCCCCTGTAATCATCCTTCATTCTAGAAAAAAGTATTAATATTTATCTAATAACAATCAAAAAGAGCTTTCATGCTCTTTAGCTGACAGTAGGTGCTTGCTCTGAAATGGCAGCTGATCTTCTTCATGTAATATACTGAACTCTGACACAGAATGTTGGCAGACTAGCAAAAGCAAAAAGAGAGAAGTTCGATATAAGCAAACAAATCTAGCAAATCTTAATAAAAACCACAGCATTTCCATCAGCCCTATTTTCAACCTAAGTTAGTAAAAGAAGAAGATTTTGCTCTGAATGGTGATGGGACTTCACACAAAGGGCTTTCTGGAAAAATTCCCTGTACAAAGGCCTAAAGTTAAGCTCTTCCAATAAATTAAACCACACAAGGTGTATCATTCGTGTTATCCCCTCTGTCTTCCCCACTGATATATTCTTACAACAGTAGCAATACTTGTAACAATTTTGACCTGGGCCAACTACTATCCTGAAAAATTTTGGAGTTAGCCTGTCCAAGGTCCCCTGGAACAAGGCAGTTTTTCGCACACTCCAGTGCATTCCCAGGTCAGGGAATGGCTAAGTCTGCATCTAAACCTGCCAAGAAAACAGCACACAACTTCAAATGGGATTTCTCTGTCCAAAGGCAAGACCCAACACGAGACATCAGCAAATGTCAGCAGCACCTTTGAGGCCACTGTCATGTTCTAAATAGCCTAAAGAAATGTGTTTTAATTGGTGTAAGTTTGCGTTTCTCTGCTGATTAGGAAACGAGATACAGGATAAGCAGTTTTATAATAACTTTGTTCATTTAATAAAGGAATGAGTTGCTGAATCCAGTGAGACCAATGTTTCGTTCATGTTTCTTTCAAGCCAGAGATGTCTTCAATTGCATAACATTTCTGCAAGCTACAGTTAAAACCTCCTGCCACTGCAATCATTTAAATTAGCTATTTCCTTATAGATAAAAATCTTACCCACGTCAGTAACCACTTTTAAAAGGTAGAGCCAATTAGTTTTTGGACTAACAATGCTTAGAAGAGACTTACAAGCTGTAACCCATTTTAAAATTAAATTTGGACTGTGGGGAGGAAATACAAGGGCATAACTACCAGGAAATATAACTAACCCCATCTGGTTTTACAAAAACGTATCTTCAAATAATGTTTCAGTACTGACAGAAATTATATTAATGCTGTGATTTGACACACAAAGATTTTAAGTCTATGTACCACCAAACTACAGCTAAACTTAATGCTTGCCTCTAGTAACTACTCTTTAAAAAAAAAAAAAAAAGCCCCAATTTGGCAATGTTTTGGAAACTTGGGTAAACCAAAGGCATCAAGACGTAACAAATCTATTATCTAGACTAGATAGTTCCAGCATTATGTAAAAAGGTATTTGTAATTCTTTTCAGCCTGGATTTTCTTCAGCCATGTCTGCATCAGTACCAGTGCAGCAAGGAGAGCAGAAGAAAACACAGCTGGGGCACACATAACTTCTGCTGATAAATCTGAACTTACACCTGCCTAAAGAAAAGAAGAGCTGGAAAAAGCTTTTGTTTTTTTTCCCAGTAAATCCCACCTGGCTGAAATGATTTCTGGCAAAAAGGGACCAGACAGGCCAAAAGCCTCAGGACAAAAGTGCGGGCCCGTGCGGGCTCTGGCCTCGCTGTACACAGGCAGAATCCCTGAGAACCGGGGAATCAAGCAGGTTGGGAAAGACTCTGGTGTCATCGATCTGACCTGTGACCCAACGCCACCAAGCGAACTACACCGTGCCCCTAAGTGCTATATCCAGCCTTTCCTTAAACATCTCCAGGGATGGTGACTCCACCACCCTCCTGGGCAGTCCATTCCAGCACCTCATCATCCCTTCTGGAAAGAAATCCTTCCTAATGTCCATCCTAAACACACTCCAGTAGGCACCTGGGCGCGGCGGCGTTCCCAGGGCCAGCTGCGGGCCGCAGGGTGGCTGCAGGGGATGTGCCCGTGCACTGCCCCCGGGATAAGCCCCAGAGATGCCGCGCCACGGTCAGACGCTCCAGAGGGGAACTGGTGGCGACTGCGGCCGATCCTGCAGGCGGAAGCGTTCCGGGGCCCCGGCAAGCCCCGTGCCGGGAGTGCCCGCCGCCCACACGCCGGGGGCGCAGCGGCGCCACAGCGCGGGGAGAGGCTCCGGGGCGGGAAAGCGGGCGGGGAGAGCCCCTCCCCAGCGCGACCCCGCGTAGCCCCTTCCCCCCTTCGCTCCCGCGGTGGTGGCGTCCGGCGCCACAGCCCCAGCGGGGAGGACAGTTCCACTCCCTCTGGCAGGGGGGAGGCAGGGGCAGGCTACGCGCAGGTCGCGTTTCCTCTTGGGAAAACGGGTGGGAATCGTCCTCGTTCTCCGGCCGTGCTCCCACCGGGAGCCGCGGGACCCGCCGGACGCCCCACGCCGCCACCCTCACCTTTCGCAGGCGTCATGGTGCTCGCCGAAGGCTCCAGGACCGCCGGGCCGGGGCCGCCCGCCGTGCCCCGCCGCTCCTCCCATCGCACCATAGAGTGCGGCGCGGCCGCCCAGAGCGCCCCGCCGCCCGCGCCGAACCATCGAGTCGAGCTCCGTCCCGCCTGGATATCCTGGAGAGCATCCGGCTCCACCCCGCCGCACTTCGGAACGGCTTCATTGGCAGCAAGCATCCAGGAGTCTCACACACGTATTTCTCATTGCCAGGAGCAAGCTCGTAGCCACTGACGCGTTTCTGCCGCGAGAAAAACCGAGATGGAGGTTACAGTTGTATGCCCCAGAATTTTACAGCACTGCAGTAAGCACTCCTCCAGTGGAAAATATCAAAGTAGGATAAAATGAAATTTCAATCACCGGTTTATCTTTAAATAAAAGGTATTTCTGGATTCTTGAAATACCAGTTTGTTGGTAGGAACTATAACATAAAAGCCTAAAAGCAATATAGAGAGATCACAGCAATAATAAAGGAGCAACACGGTATTTTTTTCTGGGTAAAAAAAAAGAGATGCAGCTAGTAATCGCACTGATACTTTAATTAATAAATCTAATAATTGGTGCCCACTCGTAATTTAAAAACATGGAGGAGCAGCACATCTAGCTGTTATTGATTAGTTTATTTTCCCAAAAGAGAAAATCACATAGTCAAAAACGAAGTTCTTGCTTAGTGCTCCTCTCACGCTCCTTTGGGTTTTTCTAATAATGCTTTAGTGATTTGTCCATGTTGTGTAACTTGAAAAAGTGAAGCCAGATACCTTGAAAAACAACAAAAGAATGCTATCCTGTACAATGCCACAGAAAAGTCACTCAGTAGCTTGAATCTTCAAGCTTCATTGTCACAAGCTTACCTAGCTACAGCCAGGAAACCACACTGCATCACAATGTACACACAAAAAAAAGAGATTTAGAAACCTTAGCACACCCTATGCAATCACATGCATCTGGACATTGTAAAGATAGCAGCTCGAGGAAGTCTTTATTGTCATCAAAAGAATCTGTTTTAAGGTACCCCATTTCCATTTGAGAAGATGTTTCATCCTGAGGCTAAAATAATTCAGGATTTCACAAACAGAAATACCATCTGCAGTTGCATTGATCAGACCTGGCACACATTTCTTCGCCACAAGGACATAAAGCTAATAACTTTTTCTCTGTTGTGCTGTAGGTTTTCAAACACAAGCAAAACAGAGCTTTCAAAAAGGTCCCCTGAAGTCAAGTTCCTATGGTTTGCAGCGTGCTCACCAGTACACTGTTTAACCAATAAATTGCTAGAGACATAAAAGGGTGCCAGAACCACCCAAGACAGATGCCCTCTTCTCAACCTCCCAGCCTTGATCTACACTCATTGGGTTGGGTTAACAGCAGCACAAACGGACAGGCCCAAGGACCCAGAGTGGTTTAATTTTGTTGGTTTTGCCTTCTTGACAATTCTGCTCTAAGGCTGGAGCTGTGACCTTTGAGTGAGTCTCCTGGGTTAAGGTTTTTCATTTAAAGACAGTATTTCAACAAGCAATTATTGCATTCAAACTAAAGTAAAATCCCAGAATGCTACATATTTAAATGTTGGAAGTGAAAGTCCTCGGGAACAACTTGATTCTAAATTCCTATTTAAAATCTGTGCTTCAGGCTTATCACTTCTGTCACTTAATGCCAGTCAGCAGTCCCAACAGATAAGATAAATGAAACAGACCAACTGTTCCTGGAATCAACAAACACAGCAAAGTCTTTAGTGTCTAAATTCAGATGTATTCAGGGATTTTTATATGCACATTCAAGATGTGTCTTCAGGTTTCTCATTTTCACTCAGGTTTCATCCAGTGGTCTTGTTAAGTCTACTGTGACCATATGAGTAGTGGGAGATGATCCTCCTCGGAGACCTTTCAAGAAAACCTGGGGTTTGGGTACATTGCTTGAGTTGTCACGCTTAGTCTGGGTGCCAACATCTTTTGGCAAGTACACTTGGGTGAAGTTCTCTCTTCTCATGTGGCTGAGATCAGTCTGCATGGCATGAGTTAACTTGCGGCGCAAGTTGGCCTAAAGACACAAAAAGAATCAGATTAAGCAAAAATTTTGTTTGAACATTTTAACTCCAGTATATACTCAGGAGTGTTTGTCTGTGTTACATCCGTGGGCTTTACAAACCTGGAACATGGCCCACCTTACCCTCTTGAAAATAAACAGTTGTGACTGTGATTTGGCAAATCCTGATCTAACAGGATGTGTGAACAGCGCTTTAGGTACCCCACCCAATTTTAAATTAGTCTTTTAATAATTTCATACCACTGGTCATTGTCCTTCAAATTTTGTTAAATGCTTCACTGTTGTTTTGTTAGAATAAAATGTTTTCATGGTAAGTGCTTCCAGTCTTTGGTTTCTGCCAAAAGTTACGAGGTTTAGGGGTTGATGTCACAAAGTATCAGATAAAAGTTTAAAAATGCCTTCTTACACCACATTACTAACCCCTTCATAAGGAGCAAAAGGGTAATTTATGATTAAAGCTGGTTATTCACAGAAATTGTCATAGGTACACAAACAAAACTACTTCTCACAAAGTGTTAATATTCCAAAGCCAGCACTTGAAACAAAAATGGTTTTCCTTATTCCATGGAGTCTTCTATGTCAGCAACAATGTAAAACACTATAAATTATAATATAATGTTCTCCTCAAAATACAGTCTCATGTGCTGGAATTCAGACCCTTTCATGTAAGTGAGAAAGTCCCTGGAGTCCAGTCCAGTCAGTGAAGACTGGAGTCGGTGGAAGCTGGAGAGTGATACAGCTGGCCAAATGTCCTAAATGTTGTATCAGAGCAAGTTAAAATATTCTCCAGCCCCCACCACTGAGGTGCCTCTCTCTGCTGGAATGGAAGGTGAAGCACCTAAATGTAGGCACATTTTGGTACCTTAATCTATAACTGAACCTTACATGCAGAGTCATCAAGCAGAATCCAACAAAGAACAGTAAGGAACTTAGAGAGGAGATGGCATGGGAAGAAAGACAATATATTTTTTTTTTTCTGAGGTTTTAATGACTGAATGTGTGCAATTACAAGGAACTGTGCTTGCACAGAGAAACAAATGTGAGCTAAAAATTTTACTTCTAATAGCATATAGGTTTTCTAACAAAGTAATAGCTTAACATTTCATACCACTAGAAGTTTTTTGGCCAAGTATGAAAAACACAAAAAAACCCCAAAGGCACGTGAGCTCTTTCCTCTAACAAAACCCACAAGTTTGTCTCATGCTTCCCTGAAGTATCAAATTCATTGATGCACTGGTAAACTATTTCTGTTAATTTATCACATTGTTACTAAATGTTTTATCACCTCCATATTGCAAATTAGCGTAGTCAAAGCACTTTTGTATGCATCTGGATTTTTTCTTTCAGCTCTACATCACTAATCTCATATTTGGACAGCTGAGGCTAAAACACCCTTAGTACTTTAAAATACATTCTCTAAATATTTCAAACTAATGAGCTACAAATTTGTTTGTGAATGGTCTTCATGACCAGATATTGGAAAATATCCATTTTTGCTTATGCTGAAGAGACACTGACCACATCTTATGTTTATTTATGTAGTTTTGTCCTTTACAAAAGCAAAAGAGGCTTTTAGCTAAGTTTCTTGTAAACCTAATTGGCTTTTTTATATACCTCAGTAACAACTATTTCTTAGAATCCTTTATGAGCTAGCGACACTGGCAAGACTCCTCAGTCCAAAATTTTGGTTTCCTTTCATAATGTTAGAGATTTCATGGCAAAAAGGAAAACAAAGGAAATAGGCTGCCCAGTAGATCACAAGCCTCCACAGTGCATCTGTTCACAGAGGAAAAAAAAAACCCTTTAGATATGTTCAGTTGATATTGTTAACTGCAATATTCTCTGTACTCACAAGTTCATTTCTGAATTCTGAAAATCAGGTGCTATACCTGACAACTGCATGTGCTGGCAAACCCTAGAAAGAAGCTTCTGACATATTTACTGTTAATTTAAAATGTGGTCAACCTTCTATGGACAGACTGTGATTTCCAATCCATCAGAAAATCCTGATAGTATGACAAACATTTGCTCTGGCTTTTTTTCACAAAGAAATTATACAGTAGTATCTTCCACCCATTAAATTGATTTGAATGTAGAACAACCTTAATATTCAATGCAATTCAGTTCAAAACAACAAACTCTTATTACATAAAGAAGGCAACCAAAAAATTTGAAATGAATAGACATAGCAGTGGAAGAACTGCTCAAAAAACAGGGAAACATATGTAAGAAGTGAGAGAAGAAGTCTAAAAGTAAGGAGAGAGAGTACCTAGAAAAAAATTGAGCCAGTTGTAATGAAGTATATGTCTTTGAATAAAAGGTTATATTTATGTTTCAAGGAACAAAAGTTAAGAATAATTTATTCATAAATTTGTTATATCCAACAATGAAAGTCTGGTAATAACAGTACAAACCAATTTTATAGCTTTTCTTCTCAGTTCCCATTCATTCCATTCATAGGATGTCACAATAGTTGGAGGCAAGATATGAGTATCAGTTTGAGTACCGCTCTCACATTTTGGGGGTGGTTTCATCGAACTTTTGCTTGCCTTTCTGGCCTGGATAAAAAGAAACAACCAAAGCCAAGCAAGGCATTAAGAAGAATACACAGAAATAGCATATGTGTATGCTACTTTTTAAAAGCAAATAGAGACCTGCAAACCACAAGTGGATAATGATTTTTACATTCAACAATATTTTTGCTGTCCATGACCCCACTAAAAGGAAAACATTAAGTACCTGATGAATTTAATTTCTGACAGAAAACTTATGAGGCAGAGGCCACAGCTGAGCTGCAAGCTCCTTTCTACCTACCAATTGCTTAATTGTTGGATTTTAGAAAAATGGGTCCCATCACCAGCAGTATTTTATAATGCAGGCACCTCAGTTTGTCTTCACAAATGGACTAAAAATCACAAATCATAACTGGGAGAAGTGCACACATCTCTGCTATAGCTGGGATATAAACTATATTTGAAACCAAGGGCCAGTTCAAAACTACATTTTTTCCACTGCTAGGAATCTAAAATTCACAAGTCGATCACAGAGAATGTTGTCTATAAATCCAAATCAAGTCTCTGGATTTCACATAATAACACTTCACATTCATTATTGATGACTCTCCTTTTATTTTTTAATATGTTCCATAACTCCTGTCCCCAGATACAACTACACCCTCATCCAGCACACATGGATGGACTGCTGAGCTAAAGCTCCACTTAAATGCAACAGAAGATATGTCAGATATCAAGTTATTTACTGGTCCTTTAAGCTACTTTTGCAAAAATGAGGAAAAGAAACACCAGACACAAGACCTGCTTAGGCTATGGACTAGCAGCTTTTATCACTGCCAGAATGCCTTGGATTTACATATTCTCCTATGAGTAGATAAGGTGAGAATGACACTAAGTAGAAACATTTCTTCAATGCTCTGAAGACCTGGAAAAGATGGACCTTCAGATAGGCAGAGGATTTTACTTCTTTCCTAAAGATAGGTATCATATGTTTTCTTTTAGAAAGGACAGACCAACCAGTGACCCAGCAGCTGTTTAGCAAGAGGCATGGGCAGTGTGTACCTGTGCACGCGGGACAAGGTATTCAAACTGATGATGGAGCTCAAGCAGTTGAATTAGTTCTGCATATTCTTTTGCTTTTTCTACATTCAACTGAATGAACTTATCTGGATCTTGAGCAAAGATGTATGCAGCTTCGTTTGAACTGAAAACATAATATTTCCCATTGTGCTTCAAAATTCCAATAGCAGGATTTCCTAAAAATTAGGAGAAAAACCAACCCAAAATTAACACCACAAATTAAAATAGTGAACAGTATAATATCTAATACAAAAGACATTTGTAATCAAGATTCTGTGTTCCCTCAAGTTATTTTCACTTCCTTCATTTCTGAACTCAGTATAAACCCTTGAAAGCAAGCTTTTTTTTAAATACAGAAAACTCTATTTTGTTAGGTCACTAAAACTGCTTTTTATCAGTTCACATCCAGCATGCCTTAGGTGCATGTCTCAGAAAAACAACAGATAAAACACATATAGCAAAGGCATAAGAAACTAGTTTCTACTCTAAAATGTTTCACTTTAAATCTTCAGCAAATACCTGATTGCAGAACAGTAGTGCATTTATACCAAAGGGCATAACACTGAGATGAACTGAAGAAGCAGATAAAGCAGCTGGGAAGCTGAACAACAAATTAACAGAGAAAATAAAGTGTAAATAAAGGCCAAATAACTTATATAGGAAAACACAGACTGATTTCAAGGACAGTGGCAGGTTGTGCTTAAATGTCTTTGCCCAGGGAAGACTAGAATCATCATAGACAGTGCCTTGAAAATACTCAGTCAAAAAAGGAATTATTAGTATGCAACCAGAGGAAGAGAAGAAAACCAATATTATAACAACCTGTAGGCTACATTTGTAATAATACACTTTGTTCCAACACAGCAAATAAAAGGAAGCTAGGAGTGATCAAAGGCTTGTGATACCTTTCATAGAAGGAGGGGTTAGACTCCTCAGCATTAAAAAGAAAAAAAAGAAATAATATTTCTTTTTTTGTAAAACCGTGAATTGTGTGCCACATAAAATTACTATTTAGTAATTTTCCTAACAGAAGGACTATCAAGTCTTTATTGAAATTATCAAGCCAGAGCTTAAAACCATCTCAAAAAGAGGTACCTTTTCATAGCATATATAATAATAATTGTGGGGCTCTTGAGAATAAGAACATCCCATGTCAAACTCTAGATAGATTCCAAAATCAATTAGATGAACAAAAAATTTCTTTGAAGGATTATTCAACAGAACGTTACAGACTCAACATTAATCAGAGGAAATCCCATAACCACCAACTGCTAGAACAAGAAGGGATATAATTAAGGAAAGATCACTCTGACTTGAATTCTCGTAATTTTAAATTGTACATGATTGTCCATGTGCAATAATCAGATACAGGGCTAGAGAGACCTTCAATCCAACTAAGGACAGCTGTTCTCATGTGAAATACTAAGTAAGTGTAAGTAAATTACATTGCCAATAAAGTATCTGTTCTTTAACACTGACAAGTAAATGGCTGTATTTTCCTCTCAAACTCCCATAGGCTTAAAAAAATTCTGTATGGACAGGTTCTAGAAAGTATAGAGAGATGGAAAACATGAACTAGAATAGCTGAAATAAGGCTAACTTTCAAGACAAATGAGCCTACAGAGACCAAAAGCTTTTTAGTACTTCATCATGACTATTTAAAAATACATATGAGGTTGGCTATTTAAAAATACATATGAATGGCTATATTTACTATATATGGATGCACAAAATAGAAGGAATGGCCATTTCCCTATGCCTGCATTACAGCACACGAACAGTAATCAAACCTGTATTCAGCTGCAGTGTATGTTATACAGACACACACAGAGCAGGAAGAAACATTTATCCATCCCATCTTGTTTCTCCTCTGCTTCCTCTTCAAGCCTTCTAAGGGCAGTTTATTTGTGTATTTAAAAAAAGATACTTTAACAAGGGAAATAAGTTACCTGGGGTGAAAATTACAAATCTAGATAAACAGTATTCCAGTTTGGATATAAGAGGATGCATTCAGAATGCCTTAACATTTTTCCTAATCCTTGTCTAAACATACAGTATGGAAAATACCTAACCACAAAGCATACCTGGTAGGGTAATACCTTTCACACCAATAGAATGTGCACAAAAACCATGGTACTGGATCAGCAACTGATCAAAATTATCAGTTGTCTCTGGAAAAAGCCATTCTTGGTTCCTGAAATCAGAAACATTCACTCTGGTTCCTAAGAAAAGATAAAACAGGAAGGATTTCAATATTAAAATATCAGATTACTAAAAGCTAATAATATTACAGGATGATCTGATAACTCTGGTTTTCATAGGATGACCTGCAGTGCCCAGATCGCAAAAGCCAAACTTTAGTCCTGACTTAAAAGAGAACCTACTGAAAATCAGTCCTGCAAGAATCTTTTTTAGTAGCATTAGTTTTCTTTGAAAACACGAGAGAAGAAAAGCCAACAGGGACAACAAGAAGAAGATAATATTTTATTATTTGATTTTGTTTTCACCCTCACACGCATTACAAACTCCCTGGCATAAAACTTGGTTCCTAGGGATACCATCTTACAAAAAAACTCTGCTGGTAAACGAAGCCCTGTTAAATTGTTAACAACCTACCCCTCAATTTCCAAAGTTCTGAAAGGTATAAAAAGACATAAATACACATAAAAACTTTCACAAAAAATTATAATATTTTCTGATCATTCTGCCATTTTTGTAAGGTATACTTGTATCTAGAAGTTTTATTTTAATTTTATATGTAAAGATAGAATCACAAGCTACACTACATGAAAATGTAAATCTATAACCTACAAGGCTTATTTTAATTTACTGTGCAAATTCTGAGTATTAAAAAAATCAATATATAGCACCTTCTGTAAAAGATCTATTGTAAAGAAAATTCAAACTACAAAATCTTGGAAAATTAAGGAAAACCAAAAAGTTTCAACTTTCCATACCCATGGTTTCTTTTATCCTTTCCACATCACTTTTCACAGTCACTCCTTCCAGAAGAGATGTTAGCATTTCCTCTGGAAAAAGCTGTGAGTGGATTTCCAAGAATTGTTGCAGATTGTCAGCCATATTTGTGAGGAAGTTTAGCAGTAGCATTTCATCCTGGAAGCCAGTCCAAAGCTTGGAAAGTTCCATAAACAGAGGCTAGAACATAAAGAAAATTATCTGAAATGTAGATTTGTTTTATATCTATGGTGTAACCCAAGCACTGTGCACAACAATCTCAGCTATGAACAATGCAGGGCTGATCTCCAAGGCCTTCAGCAACCAGAAATTCCAGGGGAACTCAGGGACACTGTAAGAGGAGCTTCCGTCACATATGCCTAAAGCAAGTATATCCATCATGTCAACCCACAGGCAAGAGCTGTACTTTTCTATATTTTACTCCAGAGCCTTTCTCAAATAAATGTACTCTCTCACCATGCTTTGAATTTAGCACTTCACTGACAATATACTTTTATAACTGAAAATATGGCGTACAGAAGTAAGGACCAGAAGCAACACACCTGATTAATTACCAAAGTAGGTAAAACCACACCTATATACAAACTATCAGGTTTTGTTATTTTGTCTGCCCTGCTTCCAGAGTGAGTTGGTGCCACAGCCCCCAGGCCATCATGTGTGTCAAATGGAAGGGGTGCAGGCCTCTTCAGAGTGGTCCAGGGTTCAAGGCAAAACTGGAGGCTCCCTTCATGCGATTGGCATACAGGTGTAGGCACATAAAGAAGCAGCCTATAAGCTTTAAGTTTAAATGCTGTTTTCAATGACAGTGACATAAAATGTGCCCTGTTACATCTAAACACACAGAGAGTATTTACAGGAAGAGAGTTTCAACCAATCTGAAATGTACACTTAACCACACATTTTATGCATGTTAACATTATCATAAGAGCAGTCAACAGAGCCAGCTCTGGAATTCATCAGCATTGCTAATGCTGTGGAAATGTTATGGTTACAAAAAGAGAAGAAACTAAAGGAAGATCAAAAACATTCTTAATAGAATAAACAAAGAATATTAATGAAATGTACTATTTTTCCTAAAACAAATGTTTACTACAAATCTAGCCTTATCCTATGCTTTTTAAAAGACAGAATGCCCTGCTTCTCTACCTCTGTAGAGGATCCAGCTTGTCAGCAACAAGCCAAAGACAAGAAAAGTTGTTTAAATGATGTGTTAATAGAACAATCTCTACCTGAAAAGGATCTGAAATCAAAAGGCATTATATATTCTGTCTTTGGCAGAGAAGACAAAACAATTAACCAGCCAGAAGAAAAAAAAAATTCCAGGAAGGCAGCAAACAACAACAGACAGCTTTTAGGGAAAAGAGTAAGGTACATCTGTCACCCAAGCCCCATGAAGATATAGAAGAGGAAAAACTGCTTTAAGTACCTGGACAAAAGGGGAAAATGATCTCCAAATGAGAACATTTGGTTTGTAAAATCAAAAGCATACATAAATTGAAGCTTGGATCACTTAGTTAAAGTGCCATTCCCATGAGTTTCCAGCTTGGATGCTCTTATGGGAAGTGTAAAAAATACTCTGAGTAGGTGGGGGTCATGATCTTCCTCTTCCTCCACGGTAGACTTTATTTTGCTTTCTAATAATTAGCTTAGAATGTTGAAAAATAGCCTAAAATATGTATGAAACTGCATGCTGGTGCAGCAGCTAACCACAAGGAATTGGAATGATAATCAAATCACACAAAATAACAAGTTCTTACAAGAAAAGCAAATTAAATAAAGCTGGTTTCTAGCATATTTCTCTCCTGTTTCCTTTTTAACATGCCAGCATAATAATCCCAGGTTTTCACAGGGTCTTTAAGCAGCCTCTCTCATAATACTTGTAGATCACAGCACTGATCATCCCCTTCCCCTAATACCTCCTTCCCATGTCCTGTCGTTCCCAACCAAGGGTGCAACAGTACAGAATATCAATCCTTCAGTGGCTGCTCACTGGCCAGAGAGCAAACTCCATTTCAGACCTGATCTTGGTAAGGCTCTAATTGTGCGTCTCTAGCTGCTCTTCTTTTCCCCCATAAAACTTGCACAAAATGACATATTTTGATATCTTTGGACTCTGACAAATGTGACTGAAACTTGCCAACAGGTTCAGAAGCTATTGGGAAGGGAAAAGAGGCTGACAGCCCCATCACAGAAACCCAGTTTCTTCAGAAAAACTATATCAATGACTCATACTGTAAGTACAGCGATTGCTATAATAACTTTAATAACTTTAAAAGAATCATACTCTATTGTGCTGTTTTCTGCAATCATTATGTTCTTACAGTTTCTGCAAAGAACAGGAAAGAATATATACACACACAAAAAAGGAAATCTACAAATAATGACAACTCAAGACACAGTAAAATACCATTTAATTCCTTTGCTCCCTTTGTGTACATTACCTTCTTCTTACTTTAGTCTTTTATTTGTCCCTTCAAAAATCATAGGTGATACTGTATTAGAGAAAAAATATAGAGCTTCTTGCTAAACATAAACTATTCAAAAACACACCAGCAAAGTATCTTACTTTAATAATGTTTTCTACTGAAGAACTAATGGGTTTTCCATTCATAATACTTACAAAAACTTCTCTGGACTCTATTGAAGTTTTATCCTGCACTGTGTTTTTCAATACCATCATTGCTGCTTCAAACTGAACATCCAATGATTCAACTTCTTGAGCACTTCCAATTGCATTAGACTGGAAAGAGAACATCAGGTAAGATATATTGCACTCCAAAAATCAAGTATTTAGTAATAAGTATATGCCTGGGCCTCTTCATTTATTTTTTTCTTAAATGTTTAGGTGTTCTGGCACTTCAGTCACACATAAACTACCAATATTTATAGAAAATCCTCTACATTTTCCCAATGAAGAAATAAAAAAAATAAAAAAAAACCAACTTTTTTTCAATGCCTTATACAGGAAAGACTAATAAAAACCTGCAGTTTCTCAAAAGACAAATGAAAAGCTCTTAATTAACAAAACAAGAATTTAAATTGTATTTGTGAAAGACTTTTGATGACTCTAGATATTTTGGGGGTGTCTGCAGACTAAAACTGAGATGATTTATGGATTGATCAAGGAGATTTTTTTCTCTCATGCCTTTTGAGACAGAGAATCAGTATGCAAGCAACTGTTTAATGGTGGACTTGGCAGTGCCAGGCTAATAAGTTAATGGTTTGGCTCAATGATTTTAAAGATATTTTCAAACCTAAACAATCTATGGTTCTTTATCTAAAGATGTATTTTATTTTATTTCATTTATTTCAGAATATTTTTTCTTCTATTTCTGTCCTGTGCAAGTAGGTAACTTGAAGACATTCCATCTGCAATAAAAGTCCACAGGCTATAACATCTCACCTGAAGGATGCAAAGGAAGGCTTCATACTGTCTCACATTGAATAGTGCTTCTTTCAATTTAAAAAGCCTAAGCCGGGAGAACCTTTGGGGCTCTTCCTGCATGGATTCCAGCAGGGCTGTGTAGCGGTGGGCTAGCAGCTGGCAGGAATTCAGACGTTCATCGAGAGTCCGTGTAGCCGACGGAATGGCTTCACTCAGGATGCCTGGCACTAGTCACACAGAATAAATACAAAATATGTATAAAAGGAATTAATGAAATCATTACCACGTGGTAAAAGTGCAATATTTGAGCATAATGGTCTTCCAATGAAATTTTGATTTCTACATTTTGTTCTTATATTCACGCATTTCCAAATACTTGCAAACCAGATTAAACCACCCTATCTCACTAGTCAGGTTGTTGCAAATATTTAGAATTACAATGTGGAAATACCACAGTGTGTCACCACAGGCCCCCAGCTGGGGAATAATTAGCATTGACTCCATGATTGCAGAAGGCTGATCAATTGCTTTATTATATCATCTTATACTATATTGTACTACACTTATTAGGAAACTCAGTAACCCTTACAGCCACTCCAATACAGCTTTGGCCTAATTGGTCAATCAATCCAAACACCATCCAGTGTCCAATTAAGAAATCACTCTTTGGTAAACAAATCTTCATGACACATTCCACATGTGCACAACAGCAGGTGCAACAAGTGGAGATAAGAATTGTTTCTCATTCTTTTCTCTGATCTTCTCACAGCCTTCCCTGGGAAAGTCTGTGCCTGCTCTCTGTGGCCAGAGAGCTGCTGCCACAACAGTCCAGTCAAGGAATGTGAGAAAACTTTGCTTTATCATAGATGCAACTCTGTTACTACAACTGACATGGGTTTCCTGAGAGAATCCGCACTATTTTCAATTCTCAGTTTCCTAATTTGTAAAATACCATTAAAAATAATATGGCTCCCTAAGATGGGAAATTATTGGAGCAGTTCCAGTGAAGAAGTCCAGGAAGAATGAATTGGGAATACCCAACTCAAACGCAGTTGTTTACTTACAGTCATCAATGCCGCTCCCTCCTTTCTGGCACTGCTTGTTGTACAAACGAATTCCTGTCACTAGCATGGCAAGATCTTTCAGCTGCTGTTCTTTGTCCTTCTTACTGAGTGAGATAAAAGTAATCATCTCTGTCTGGGGGAATACACTCTGCAAGGCAGCTGTAAGCATTACAAAGTCAGAGAAAACACTCAATATGAGGGAAAAGAAAATCAATAAGCAAAAATAGCCTCTCCTGAACAAATGCAAAAAGTAGGAAATCTATGGGAAATTTACATTTCAAAGCTGAGCAGTGACAGTTTGGATAGCAAGCATTCATCACAGTTTACCATGTTTGTATCTAAATATCAGCAAAGAGAAGGTGAAATTTTATTTTTTCAAGAAAAAAAGCCTAATTTGACAGCTGGGAGTTTACTGACCTGTTACCTCTCTGACAGCCTCAATATCTGTTGGGGATCCCAGGCCAGATCTCACCAGCACATAGGTAACGATGTTTTGACACACGTTCTCCGTTTCTTCTTGCACACGTGGAGCACTCTCTGTGATGGCTCTAACTATAGGAGCCAGTTTTCCTTCCAGAACACGCGCCTGCTCACTCAGTAATTCATCTAGGAAAGAAGGTAACTTAGAAAGTGCTATCTAAATCCTTTGAAATTTGGTTTATACAGAGGATGCAGGTCAGAGCACCAACTTAAGGTTTCTGAAGCACAGGTACGTGGAAGAGATGTTCATAGTACCAAACAATTAGAATTAAAAACAGCAGAGTTAAACATTAATAAAATTAGCATAATTAACATCAGTCAGTAGAGTCCTGAGAACTGTTCAGGCCAAATTAAACAGCAAATTTCTGGCTCTCTGGACTCCTCTGACTGTAGGAGGACCTAACTTACACACATATTTCAAACACACCTGAAGTTACATTCTCAAATCTGAATACTACTCAAGATCTCAAAAACTTGCTGGAGTTACTGAGCTTATAGAGTTCAGAGGATTTAGGAGCAACTTCCAGTGTTGCTAATTTTTGGGTTTAATCCATGCTAACAGGAAAACAGGAAATTTTCATTATCTCCCCACACAGAAATGTTTATTTCACATCTATTCTTGTTCTGTGTCTTCTATTTCCCAGCCAGCCTCCACTGTCCCTTTCAGATCAGGAATTACATTTACAGCAGAGGCATTTTCCTCACCTCATTTTATTTTCACATTCTCATTCTCAGACTATACGAAATTACTACCGATGAGACAAAAATATACTCAGCTGAAGCTGTAACTGATTGTTCAAGATTACTCAAATCTCCCAAGTAGGGATATTGATAAAATACTGACTTCTGAGTGCCTTCAGACACACAGGTGCAGGTGCAAGCTTTTCTTGCTGAAGGCAGCTAACCACTGAACCTGAAAGTGTAATTGTCCTCAAGCAACCTAATACTCATAATCAGTAAATCAGCATGAGAAGAGTGTACTCTCAAATCTAATGGACTCTTTTCCCTACTATATCCATACTGAAATATCAGACTCCTATACAGCAAATTTCTCCTGGGATTTTTATTTTGCTTTACTGCCAGTAATTACTATTCTTAAATAATAAACTCAGAATCAACTTCAATGAAAACATATTTGAAATTACCTCGGCTTGCATAGTTCATATCAAAGTAAACTTGCATCTTAATTGTGCTTAGGGATGGGTTTGTTGTGTCAAGCAGTCTGGTAACACAGAGCTAAAAAGAGAGTCAGAGAAGTGAGTTCTTTCTCATCTCTGGGGAAACATCTGAACTGATAGTGATCTACTACAGGTTTCACAACAGCTGTAGAGCCCCCTCACTACCATTTTCTCCATATAAAGCTTCTCTAAGGCATTTATTTATGGAAATATAATCCATACTTCAGCTACAGAGCTATGAGAATAAAGCAGCACTAAAATTTTGGAAGTATTCATGTCATTTTAGTTATAGGAACAGGTAGAAAATAATGCTATAGTCTTAGATAGGTAGTGACTCTCAACATCATGTCACAATTACCTGGATAAGATCTTGCATATCGTTTTCTGTAAGTATTCGATCCATATTAAAATCATTTCTTGGATCTAAAACAACAGCTTTCACCTAGAGATTGCCAAAAGAAAGATACTAATTTATGTCACAAAATACCATCTTTGCAACTCAATTTTTATTTCATGAAAAATCTCAGATGCATTCAATAATTCTTTACTATTCTTTTTTATCCATTTCAGTCTTTGATAATTAAACAAAATTACTTAATTTCACATCTTCCTAGTTTCAATCTCAGTTCTCAGACACAAATGAAGAAAAAAATATTTTTGTGATACAAATATTTAAATATAGCTCCTTTAAAATTATTTGGAAAAATATTTTCCTAAGTAACATTTTTTGAAAATCTATCATGGTTGTTTATAAACTTCTAAGTTGGTGTTATATGCATCGATATAAACACTTGCCATTTGAATAAGGAACCCCATAGTTTGCTACCTGCAGGAAAATAAGTGCATGTTTGCAATTGGTGTTCATGCTGGGTGTCTTGCCAGCCACTTGTACGAATTTTTTACTCATTAATATTTTCCTGCTTATTTGATTAATACTGCTTTTGAGCCCAATCTTTTTTCTAAAGTGTCACCTTTAGGGGAAAAAATAGCATATTAACAGTACTGCTGTAAAGCATTCACATTTATATACAAGTTTATCAAGAGCTGATCATCAATAAAGAAGGAGTCTAGTCCATCTTTCTTCAGACAGCTTTGCAGGTGCATTCAGACTATATTCTGCAGCAATGCTGTGTCTCCTAAGAGATGCCAAAATATAAAATGTTTTTAGGATATTTATAGTGTCTACCAAGGACAATACTGAGATTGATTCTATTAAATTTTCACTTTAAATGGGATCAAAGCCTGTTCCTTCAAATATTCACCCAATTTATACTACCTGGCCCTGTCAGAGCAGAGCAACAAACAAAATTATCTATCACAAGAGAGGGAGGAGGTGAACATCGAAGAATAAATATAGCTGCTGCATTAAACATTCATCTATGCATCACAGGTTCATTTATGAGAGTGCGAAGAAAACCTGGTAAAACTTGGCAAAACTTCTCTTTTTCACTTCTGAAAGAAAACACTGGTCTATCTGCCTGCAGAAGAAAGAGCTCCAAGCTGGAGTTCAGAGTTTGCAGGACTCGGCACCTGCAGCCTTCTTGGAGTATTACAGTCAATAAGATTTCAGGGGTATAATCTACTTTTTCAGGTTTTAGGACCCAATACTGGATGTCACTGAGTGCCCCTTTAAAATATCTCACTGCAGGCGATTGGAGACCAAGGTATTTCCAAGCTCGGGTCAGCCCTGAAAGCCTCGGCTGCCGCCAGCCCTTCCTTTGCGCTTACCATGAAGGCCACCAAGGTTTCCGAGAGGCTCTGTCCCTGGGCAGCGCACTCCAGGCCCACCTGGCGGATTATCCTCTTGATGACGCCTCGGCTCAGCTGGCCGGCCATGCCGGCCCAGCGCGCACGCCGTGTAGCCGCTCAGACTCACCGCAGCGAGGGCGGCCCGCCCCGCGCGTTGCCCTGGGGACGCGCCCGGCGGCACAGCGGGGATTGAACTTACACACAGAGCACGGGGAGACGCTGTCCGTGCAGGACACACGGGGCAGTGTGCGTGCAGAACTTACACGCCTGCATATATTCCGAAGACGCGGCTGTGGAAGCACAGGAGCGGAGGTGTGAGTGTCTCGGCGCGCACACGAACCGTGTGCGGACGGCTGCAGCTATGGCTGTATGAAGGTGTGTGTAAATATAGATACGTTTGTATAAAGACACATACATACTGTACATAAGCATATGTACCTTAATATCACAGAATCATTAGGGTTGGAAGGAACCTATAGAAATTATCCATTCTAACCCCCTGCCAAGGCAGGGTCACCTAGAGCAGGTTACTCAGGAACATGTCCAGGTGGGTTTGGAACATCTCCAGAGGGAGAGCCACGATCTCTCTGGGCAGCCTATCCAGGGCCCTGCCACCCTTAGTGCAAAGAAGTTCTTCCTCATGTTGAGGTAGAACACCTTGTGCTTTAGATTGTGGCCACTGCTCCTCACCCTCTCACTGGGCACCACTGAAAAGTGTCTGGCACCCTCCTCTTGGCACCCATCTTTGAGCTATTTAGTGATTAATGAAATGCCCTCTCAGTCTTTTCAAGACTGAAGAGGCCCACCTCCTGCAGTCTCTCTTTATGAGAAAGATGTTCCAGACCCCAAATTGTTTTTATGGCCCTCCTCTAGACCCATATATGCTCATACATACAATATATACACCATGGCAGCAGGGGTCAGAACTAGGTGATCCTTAAGGGCCCTTCCAACTCAAACTGTTCTATGAATGGCCTGCTGAAGGGGGTAGAGTGGGAAAAAGAAAACCTTCATGCCAAGCAAGCACAGAGCCAAAACACCTGTGTGTTAACAACACACCACAAATACAAAGCACAGCATCACAAGGAATGCTGATAAGCAAGTTAACTCCATCCCAGCCAGACCCGGTACAGATAAATGTATTTACGCACCTATAAATGCATACAACACATAGATAAATTCATACATACATGTATAAACAAAATGTGTGTATGGTACACAGTGAGTGGTGCAGGCAGAGGCAGCACAGACAAGGCAACTTTGCTCTGCAACACAAGCAAGAGAGCCATCCTTGCTTTCAGGTCTCATGATTGCTGCTGGAGGTGGCAACTCCTTGGGTGTAGTGCCTGCTAATGCTACAGGTCACAGCCTGCACATACAGCCCAGTGAGCCCCAGGTTGTTGCACACACCAGTGGGCACACCACTGGATGAATGCACTGCCTTGCTGTAAGTGCTTCAGTTAGTCAATATGCAATTACTTCTAGCTTTTCTGTGTCAGATAGAGGAAAGAGTAATAGCATGCTAATTAAACTTAAAAGCCATGTCCCTGGAAGGCAATCAAATAAGCTCAAAAGGCACAGGGAATGTGGGGATAACAGATGAAAAGTTTTCCACTGATTTAATTTTTTTGCCTTTGATTTACACTGTCAGACAGAGGGAACTCCACTGAGAATCATGATGAGATCAAGATGATAATTTTTTTTTCCACTATGACCTCAGACAAGTCACTCTTATCAGTAAAATTAAGATGATACTATGCTACCTGGCAAGTAGCTGCAGGGTTGCATCCATGTTGTCAGTGTGTGTACAAAGGCAGAGTGCAAGGAGTGCCAGCATAACCCATGGGAAATGCTTTTGGGAAGATCTGTAGAACAGGGATCAAAACAATCCTGCAAAGGACAATTGTGAAGTCTTAGGTTTCATTCTAGTAGCACAGCTAATGGGGTTTCTTAATATGTCCTCTGCATTGATATTTAAAAATTCTATACCCTTAAGCCCAGCAACTATAGCAAGATTTTCATCAAGAGAATAAAAATCTACAGGATCTCTTTTTCTACAAATTGCTGGATGATAACGTTTTGAGGCCCTTCCTGAAGCAGACGTGTGTTGCTGTTAGTGAGCTTAGGGTCACAGAGATTTTCCTCTATGCTTCCTGGTAAATCACACAAGAACCAGCTCTTCTGCAGGTGGGGAGGAGCAAGAGGAGAAAAAAAAATGTAGTTTTGGGGATTAGAAGGAGTAAGAGAAGGTGCCAATGCCAGCTCTCTCCCTACAAAGGCAAATTTCAAGTCGGTCATAAACCTTGGTGCTCAAAGTAGTGCTGGCAACACTTCCTCCTGAAAAGATTATCAGCTAAAAGTGGACAGTTTTTCAGAGTTCAACCAAACGCTGTTGGCAGTAGAGATGGAGGTGGAGCCTGCAGCTTTGTCGATGCAGAAAGTCAGTTCCCATACCATAACAGTCAGCAAGACTTTCGCTGACACCTTCACAGGCTTAGTTTTTATACAAATAAGGGGAAGGGGATTATTTATTTTCCAAAGAAAAACATACTTTCAGGGAAGGGTTGTAATCTGTACTAGACCACAAAAATTACTTTAATTTATTTGTAACTTACTGAAGACTTCAGGTTGCACAACACTGTTTTATAACCAAAGCAGCTGGATTTCTCTTCTAGAATTAGTATCAACTTTTAAACGATTCAAAGAATGGAGGCCTGGTACCTGAAAGACAGATAAATTCTTCCCCCTGGCGGCGTATGTAGGCCATTGACAGACGGTCAGTAAAAAGATTCCTGCATTGTGATAGGAGGAATTCCCGGATTAGTTTGAAGAGGCATTAAAAATAACACACACGGTTGTTTTTAAATCTCTGTAAAGTTGGATACCTTAGTGGTATTTATTAATGGAAAATAATATCAGCTATTTGATGAATTTGCTATCACATTAAACTGGCTGTCTCATCTAGGAAGACACCCCTTTATTCAGCTATATACAGAAGATGGGATTTACTTAACAGGTTGCTCGTCTGAGAATATACCCTCATTTTGCTAGTGTGGGGACAAAGTTGAAGCTGGTGCTTTTACACCACTGATCTGCAGAGGAAACAACTCAGCAGTCCAGTTCAGGGCATGGCCTGAGTCAGATTAGGTGAACAGAGCACTTGCATCCCAGAAGATAACAATTGCCAGGATAGCACAAAGCACTGCTTTCTGAAGCTTCACCCATTTCCCGTGCCTAGTGGAGATACTGGGCTGAGAAAGAGTCTGTCTGAGTTCCATTAACACAGCCACATTCAGCAAGTGCTTCTGCACTCACTAACCCTCCAGTCACTTCCACTCATGTCTCATCGGAAAGAGACCTTCCAGCTCAGTTAGCCTCTCTCTGCACTCAGGCCTCCTCTGACTGGAGACCCTACTGAGCACCAGCCTCTTGGCCTGAAGGTCTTCTGCTGCCATAAACACTCCAAGGCACCAGTTAAAGCTCTTCAAAGATGATACACCTAAGTGTAAGGATTTACAGTTGACAGGGCAGGACACAAGCAGAAGCTGAGTCCCTTTCCTCATCTCTGAAGTTAAAACATAAACTGGGTTATGCAGGTTTTTGTTTTCTACTCTTCAGTGTCCTGAAGCCACCTTGCACCTTGATGCAGAAACTAAAGTCTTTATTAGGCTTGGTTGTTTCAAAGGAGCAGTGCAAGGAAAGCCTGTCTTCACACAGGAATTAAAGGCCTGTCTCTTTTGAGAGGAAAATATATTCCATCTATCTGGCTTGATTTCCAAAGTGTCACAGAGAAGTGTCACAGTCAGAAATACATTTTGTGAGAACAGACAAGTCATGTCACCTTTTTCTTGCTTGTCTATTAGTTCATAAATAAACCTGACTTTCAAAATTGAGAATGTTTTGGTGCAAGGATTTTTATTATTTCTTCCTCCTCAAATCTGTGTATCAACAAATGGAAACCTCTGTGCTTGTACTGCCTTGCTTGAAGCACAGACCGGGCTGACCGGCTCAGCTTTAATGACATAGTCACACAAGAGCAGGCAGTGCTATTTTAAGCTTCCATGATTCTCCTGAAAAGCTATGTAAGTGATAGGTATGTAACCACTGCAGACTCATTGAGGCACAGTGCAGACTAATGGTTCACATTGAAAGGAATCCTAGTCAACATTTATAGCAATTATTTAACATATGGTTTACGGTCTGAGCCTCCCTTTTGGAATGTGATAAAGGAATGTTAGACTGTTCTTCTATTTACTTCTCCCAGCTCCAACATTTTTTGCATTAAAGAAGGGATATCTGAGAATGCCAGTGCTGTGTCTCCCCCTAATTCCTCTTCTATCAGAGTTTCACTGCAATATGAGGATACCTGGAAGGGAGCGGAGACTTAACATAGGACAGGGGTCTCAGGGAAGACAAAAGATATTCCCAGGATGAAACCATCACCAAGGCAGCAATATTTTGCTGGAAAAAAAAAAAAAAATTTGTCTTTTAAATAAAAAAAAAAAAAAAAAAAAAAAAAAGAGGAAAAAAAAAAAAAGACAGATAACATGGCACAAAAAGTTTACCTTTAATTTGACTATTTCTGGGGGAAAAAAAACCCAGAAGTATAGAAACCCAGTTAATAAATGCACTACTGTAAGCCTGGATCCCTTAGCAGGCACAATAGATGCACTGTATTTGCCAGGTTACAGAAAAGGGTGCAGAGCACAATTATTTGTCCTTCAAATCTTGAGAGCTCTGGCAGTCACTGTGCAGAGGGAGTGGAGAGATTCCAGACATACCATCAATGCCTCAACTGGAAACTCCTGCAAAAGATGCGCTATTCAGCTGTATTCAGATGAATCACTACTTAAGGCTCCCAAACAATATCAACATTACATTACCATTTCAGTTAAAGGCATTTATAAAAGTAATCAATAGAATTTTACATTAATCATCCCTTTAAAAAAATCTGCTCAAAGCTAGACCCAGGACTTACCATAGACTCAGAATCACAGAATCACTAGGTTGGAAGAGACCTTCAAGATCATCAAGTCTAACTCATGCCCTAACACTTCAACTAAACCACAGCACTGAATGGCACATCCAATCTTCTTTAAACACATCCAGGGATGGTGACTACCA